CTTGGAAGAAAATCGGCTGCTCAAGGTAGACACCAACAATCAACACGGCCAGAAACGCATCATACGATACAATAAATTTACTTGGTAAATTCGAGTGTGAGATGAAAATAGCAGGCAAACCAAGTCATGGACCAATCGTTTTAGTCGATTATGAATTGGACTTGCTTGGTATCAATTGGATCCATCGCCTGCGACTGTACTTTCCTGTCCATTTTTATATGACATGGCTGTACAGCCTGTTTTAATATGCTCACCAAGCAAAAACAGAATATTAATTCTGTCCGTAATTATGCATTTGCTCTCTGAGTGTTACTGAGGCATTATTCGTACATTACCAGTTATCTTCAAGCGGTACCTCAACTGTCGCAGCCATCCATTTGAGCACCATTACACACTATTAACCAGAGCTACAAATCCGAAAAACAGGACCAATCAACCAGCCGGGTAATCCTTCTGAGAGTCCGTTCCATGTACCGTTTCCTTCATCATCACTCGTATATGGAGTATCTATTCCACCACATATTTGATAAGCCCATGTAACGTTTATCTCTAGTTTCATATTTCTCTTCGATACCCCGGATTATTCAGGAATTTTACTTTATTTTTTGTTTACTGTAGGTATAAAACTTTGGGGCAATCTAAAATGGACGTAGAGGACCTTCCCATGTCTTTCTACAATAAATTGTCCACATTTGGTAATAACAACCCCAGTTATGTTTCGCCAAAACCCGAAGCCCGTTTCCGTGCTTACTGCATTCGCTTCCAAACGAATACGTATTCTCACATAGTCACTTCCTTGCCCCCAGACGTTGCGGAACAGGCGTTTGAGTTTATCATCACCATGCCCGTGAATGACCCATACACTCAATTGATGGAATCACTGATCACCCGCACAGCGGTGTCGGATGAACGCCGATTGGATGAATTCTTTGGGGATCTGGAGGTCGGCAACCGCACCCTGTGCCAGTTGTTGCGACACACGCGGCGGCTCATCGGTACCATCTCCCATCAGCTTTGGTTGAAGCGTCTCCCTCCATGAGTCCAGGAACTTTTATCCGTTCTCTCATACAGTTCATCGGATGAAATGGCAATGGCCGCAGATAAAACATTCAAAGCAGACCCAACTTTACACCACATCACCGCTTATTCCAACCCAGCTCCAATCGCTCCTCGCTGCGATCATATAGTTTCTCGAGTGGGAAACCTTGAACTGCAGATGCAGCTATTAGTTCTTCACCTCCACCGCTCACAGTAATCCAGCCGCAGCCAAAGTCGAAGTCGCTCGACTACGCAAATCCGTAAAATCTACCCTCCAGCCA